TTTACGGGGAATTCTGGGAATTACTCTGACACATTTGTAAAAACTTAGGGTTCCGTAATAATGTACTATACAAACCAGGATAAAAAGTCATAGAAATCTGAAGAACAGCTAAGCATACAAGGGGGGAAAATCAATAAAATGTCTCTAAAAGGAAAAAATGGCCTTGAATCAATAATATCAAATAGTGTGGAAAGCTACAGGCGGGAAGCTGCAACAGTGCCAACAGGAAATCTCAGACTGGAGATGGCATGAAGCATGGGCTCAGCTTATAACCATCGTCCACATCTCTACAGTACAAGGTACGTCGTAAGGTTTTGAATGGCAACATGCTTGCCCAAGAAAGCTACTGCAGTGTCTAGAGTTGATTCACTTAAAGTTAGAGAACAGCTGAATATTGAAATAATAAGTCTTTAAATCTCAAGCTTACTTTCTGCAGAGAGATAATGGTTATTACAAAAGGGAAAACTCAGACAAGGAATATTTTGTGTATTTTGCATAATGTCACAAATGGGAATTTGATTCTAAACCATTTCTGGCTGATTTCACTTTCTTCCCATTCACATCATCTACTTGGTTTTTTAAAAACATACACTTAAAAATATATGAACATTTAAAAAATAAAAATAACCTAAAAAGAACAAATCACCAGATGCATACTAGTAATAACATCATAATACTATTATTTATACCTCAAAATGATGGGTAGATGGGTAGGTAGGTGGGTGGTGGATAGATGGATGGAAGGATGGAAGGATGGATGGATGGAAGGATGGGTGGATGGATGGATGGGTAGATGGATGGGTGGATGAATGGATGGATAGGTAGATGGATGGATGGGTAGATGGATGAAAGGATGGGTGGAAGGATGGATGGATTGAAGGATGGGTAGATGGATGGAAGGATGGGTGGATGGATGGATGAGTGGATGGAAGGATGGGTAGGTAGATGGGTGGGTGGATGGATGGAAGGATGGATGGATGGGTGGGTAGATAGATGGATGGGTGGAAGGATGGATGGATGGGTGGGTGGGTGGATGGATGGGTGGAAGGATGGATGGATGGGTGGGTGGATGGATGGATGGGTGGGTGGGTGGATGGATAGAAGGATGGTTGGTGGATGGATGGGTGGATGGATGTTTGGAAGGATGGGTGGATGGATGGATGGATGGAAGGATAGGTGGATGGATGGATGGATGGGTGGATGAATGGATAGATGGATGGATGGGTGGGTGAATGGGTAGATGGATGGGTGTATGAATGGGTGGGTAGATGGGTAGGTAGGTAGACTGATGGGCAGAATCTAAGTTTATCCTTCTAGTGGCATCTTAAAACAGCCCTGGTACATTCAAGATTTGAATCAGATCTGAGGCCCAAAGTCCAAATTTGCTCCATACTCTGTGTATTCTGGTAATGTAGAATGGATCAATATAACATTCTATAGAGACCTGAATTTTGTGTAAGAGAGGCTTAGCACAGGCCCAGTGTCAGCCACCCAGCCAGAGGACCGTTCTGGGAAACAATTTTTTTTTTTTTAACATTTACTGACATTTAACCCTCCTGTGCCTACAGATTAAATAATAATAAACTGCTTTTGACAGGTATCTTTCTAAAATGTATTATACCTCTGTCTTAAGTAGAGCACACCACACACGATGACACCTCTCCCTGATGGATCAGGTGACGATTAATACATATGTCAGTGCCCTGCACTGCCGTTCGTCGTGAGCAGGGTTATTTGCATCTTCACAATGTAAGCACAGAAGGTCGTGCTTGTTCTATGTTTCAAACTTGCTTTTAATGAGTCTATTTCAACCCATGCTGCTTGCTATTATATGCCATTTCTTTAAATGTGCCAATCTTCCTCCTAATTTCCTGCTCATAATCTACAGGGACCTAGACACTGGTATCACTGTTTGATGGGACTCAAAGTTAGAACAAATCAGCTGTGGGTGAGAGCCTGTCACTTTTGCTAATTTCCACTTATTGGCTGTATTCTACTTCCATTAGATGGCCAGATAATTGAATTCTGAATAGACAAGATGGTATTGTACTCTTGCCTGACACTGTTTAAAATAAGTTTTATTTAAGTATAATGTACATATAGAAAAGTGCACGAATCATAGGTCTTTGGCACAATGGTTTCCAACAAACAGAGCACACCCTTGTGAGGTGTACCCAGAAAACACCCCGACACGGTGTTACTTGTTTTGTCCTTTTCAAAGTGTTCTCATACGCGCCATTTCACTCAAGTCATTGCAACAGTCTTGTGAGGCTAAACAGTCAGGTATCATCTGTAATTCGGCAGGGAGAATGAAGTTTCGTATTTAGCTTCACTGATTTCTGAAATCAGAAGGTGCACAGCAAGGACCGAGTCCTAGCATTGCGTTGCCAGAATCGTCCACTATGCTATCAAACTTACTCAGAAGACGTGACATAGCAGATAAATTCTATTATCACATTTTTGACAAGGGCTGAGTGAATATTCTGTCAGCACCACAGATGCCAGTGGTTGTCTGCAGCCTGCCTCAGCTGTGACTGTCCAGTGTCACCAACACACAGATTGATAGCCATTTTTCATTTCTTCCCTGGGAAGTCAAATGTCAGCACATTCCCCTGAGAGGAGGAAGGTGGCATCAATCACTGCAATTATCCGGGCTTTCCAAAGGAAAGTGAGAGCTCAAACTGTAGATGCCTTCACATTCTCATTTCTTCCATTCTCTTCTTCCCATCCCTTCATTCTTAAAACCAACTAAATTAATTCAGCTGAAAAATCATGCAAACTTCTACCAAGCTTTGCCGAAACTTACATTTGAATCAGCTACCCTTACGACTTTCCAAATCACCATCCATTCTGAAACCCTCAAACGGCTGCAGCTGTACCTATAAACGAAAAGTCCCTATTATAAAAATATGGAGCTTCTAAAGCTCACTAAGCTCACTAAGGGTCTTCCAGGTAGCTACAGGAATGAAGTATGTTATAGACCGTCCTCTTAAGGATATGCCTTAGCAAATAAAATACAAAGTGTGTGTAAGGAGCCCTTTTCTTAAGTTCTTCTTCAGAAAACACAAGAAGTAAAACTGTTCAGGCGTGAACACTTTTGGTTTTTATTTTATTTCACTTTATTTTTTTGAGATGGAGTTTCACTCTTGTTGCCCAGGCTGGAGTGCATAGGCAAAATCTCAGCTCATTACCACCTGTGCCTCCAGGTTCAAGCAGTTCTCCTGCCTCAGTCTCCCAAGTAGTTGGGATTACAGGTGTGCGCCACCACACCAGCTAGTTTTTTGTATTTTTAGTAGAGACGGGGGTTTCTCCATGTTGGCCATGCTGGTCTCGAACTCCTGACTCAGGTGATTCCCCCGCTTCGGCTTCCCGAAGTGCTGGGATTACAGGCAGGAGCCATGGTGCCCGGCTGTGGACACTTTTTAAATGAAACGTTCTGCAGGATTCAAACTTCCCAAGGACTGCAGGTGCTGCCAGCGAGGGATGAGGCTGAGCCCGGAGACCAGCGAGGAATGAGGCTGAGCCCGGAGATCCGCTCCAGGAACTGAACCCTGCTCGCACTTCCAGTCCCTGTGAACAACGTGAAGCCTCAGTTTCTCCTCTGTAAGGTGAGTTAACAACAGCGCCAGACCACGAGGCGGCCCTGGGATTCAGTTATCCCAGTGCTCACAATCTGTTTGGTCCAAAGAAAGCCTTTTTTTTTTTGAGACGGAGTTTCGCTCTTGTTACCCAGGCTGGAGTGCAATGGCACGATCTCGGCTCACTGCAACCTCCGCCTCCTGGGTTCAGGCAATTCTCCCGCCTCAGCCTCCTGAGTAGCTGGGATTACAGGCACACGCCACCGTGCCCAGCTTATTTTTTGTATTTTTAGTAGAGACGGGGTTTCACCATGTTGACCAGGATGGTCTCGATCTCTTGACCTCGTGATCCACCCGCCTCGGCCTCCCAAAGTGCTGGGATTACAGGCGTGAGCCACCGCGCCCGGCCAAGAAAGCCGTTTTTATTGCTAGGAAGGAATGAGCCTCTTCTTGAAGGCAGAATTCCTCCAGTTTAAGTCAATCACCTACGAAGTGAGCTTATTCAATTTACTAACCCAAACTCAATTCATATCACTAGGTGCTTATTAACTAATTTTCAAACTGAAAACGGCAAGATCATTACAGGGAAAAACGGCAAGGCTGAGCCTCCCCAAAAGGAGCTCAACAAAATGAGAGCTTTTCTCAATTCCCTGTTTAGAACAAAAATATTGATCTTGGCAGACATTTAAGTGCGTGTTTTCTTTCCCACCCCTTCTCCCAAAGGTTTCTCCAAATAAAAGACTAGTTTCTTCAGAGAGCCGAGCATCTAATCATCACCCAGAGTCTGAACATCCGGTATCCTAACAGCAAAGTGTCCCCAGCTTCCCACCAGAACGAACCAGTTCAATTCCTTGCTCAGAGGAAAAAGCAAGTTTAAGTCAAGCACAGAATTATCGGTAGTTGCATATTCCGCGTAAGGGCAGCCCCTCCTGTCACACAGAACAGGAGACAGTGCAGCTTCTGCGTCCACAGTGTCCCCCGCGTACCCGGCCTGCTCGGGGCCTCCTTCCACCGCAGGCTCGTGGCTGCCGACCACTCCCAGCGGCAAAACCGCAGCGGCTGCTCCGTCGTGGTGCCCGCTTCTGCGTTTCCACATTTCAACAAAGTTAGGAAAAGTAAACCACGTGTCGGACCAAGCCGCGGGTCGGTTCGAACCTTGCAGAGGCTGTTGAGGAACTTCCCGCAGCCTGGAGCCGACGCGTCTCGTTCTGGTAAACCCGAGACAGGACACCAGACCCGGGCGTCCCCGCAGGGGAGAGGGCCCGGCTCCGGCGGAGGGTCCCACCTCGCAGGGCCGCGACTCCGGGTCACCGAAAGGCACTCGAGCGGGCCGGCCGGAGGGAGAGCGACTCCGAGCCCGCGGCGTTTCGGAACCGCCCGAGGCGTCCGGGGCGCGAACCAGGGGCGCGGCGCGGGCCCTACCTGCGTTCCGGAGCTTCTTGTTCCGATACACAGACAGGATGACCAGGAGGTTGCCCAGGACGTCCACCACGATGGTGAAGATGAGGACGCAGGCCAGCGCGGATGCCGGCCACGAGGGCACCGGCCGCGCTGCGTCCCCGCCGGGCACCGGCCGCGAGGCGTTGGGCAGCGCGCTGCCGTTGCCAGGCATGGTCCCTGCGCGCGTCTGGGCCGCGGGGCCGCCGCCTCCCGGGAGCTTTTCAAGGCTCCGCCCGGCGCTCCCGGCGCCCACGCCCCATCCCGCGCGCCCCTCCACGCCGCGCGCCACGGCCAGAGAACAACTGGTGCCCGCAGCGAGCCCACCGGGACTCCCCGCCCGCGGCCCGAACCCCGCACCACGGGCCGACAGCGCCCCGCTGCGGGAAGCCGGGCCCAGCCGCCGCGCCCCGGGGACGGTGACCCAGAGGCCTCTCCTCGCGGTGGGGGCACAGCGCGACCACCCGTTGTGTTTCTTCTCTGGAGTGGGACTTTTCACCCAGCAGGGCCAGGCTGCCCGGGCTCAAATCCGACATGGGACTGGGACGAGTTCCCCAGTCACCGGTGCCCCAGCTCCCTTATCTTCCTTATCTGCAAAATGGGAACAGATACTGTCTCCCTCGTTAGCCTCATAATGAGTAAAACGTGAAAAGATCAAGGACGCTCTTCTGCTGTGTATTGCACCGTTTAACGTGGTGCTAGATATTTCCGATGGTGAAATGAGATTTTAAAGAAAAAATGTAAAAAGCAATACTTGCAGCTGATAAAAATGTCTGTACTTTCTTAGGTACCAGTGAAAATGAGAAAGAATGCGCCATCAGATGGGTCTGATACCTGGCAGCAATGTAAAAGTGCCAGGGAACGGCTTAACCCGCTGTGTGCAGTGAGAGAAAACTTCGTGAAAATCGTGAAAGGACATGTAAACAAACGGAGAGACCCGCAGTGTTCCCAGATTCAAAGATTGAAACTGTCGTTTTCCTCATATACTTTATGCCAGCCCAAGAAAACTATCCAATAACCGGAAGTCCCTCTGAAAGAGTAAAAAGAAAGTGCAGGAAAAGGATTTAATAAGATGAATAGAAGTACGACCTACCACTATCAAAATGTGCATTAAAAATTATAATAAGTAGGCCAGGCACGGTTGCTCGCGCTTGTAATGCTAGCACCTTGGGAAGCCAAAGTGAGAGCATCTTCTGAGCTCAGAAGTTTGAGGTTCAATGAGCAATGAGTGCACCAGTCACTCCAGCCTGGGTGACAGAGCAAAATCTTGTCTCAGAAAAAAAAGGCACTTTGGGAGGCTGAGGCAGACGGATCAGGAGGTCAGGAGTTCGAGATCAGCCTGACCAACATGGTGAAACCCCCATCTGTACTAAAAACACAAAAATTAGCTGGGCGTGGTGGTGCCTGCCTGCAGTCAGCTACTCAGGAGGCTGAGGCAGGAGAATCAGTTGAACCCAGGAGGTGGAGTTTGCAGTGAGCAGAGATTGTGCCACTGCGCTCCAGCCTGGAGACAGAGCAAGACTCTGTCTCAAACAAACAAACTAACTAAAATAGCACTGAGCTCATAAAGAATTTGAAAAAGCGCATAAAATAAAGATTTTATAAAGTTAACACTTCAGTGGGACTGGGGTAGATCATGAAAATAGAAATGCGCTAAAGAAAATGTAGGTAAATACACAAAGCACTTGAGGTGGAGAAGCACGGTCTGAGCATGAAAAAAAAAAGGCAGGCAGGAAATAATCCTCACCATGGAAAGAACAGGTAGCAGCTGCCATCGACAGCACCACTGACAACGCCTCTCACTTCCCATCTCTGGCATCCGGATTTGACACCTATGGTTTGTACCGTGTGTTAACAATTCCACAAAGCTTGACTCTGCTGCGACCACTTTATGGATGAGAGGTTAAGCAGTGCACCAAACTCATGCAGCTCGTAGTAAGTGGAGGCAGAATTTGAACTCTGGGCTCTCTGACTGCCAAGCAAGAAACCTCATTTCTAAGTTTCTCAGCCATGATAGATTTGACTATAGAAATGTTAAAAGTTGGCCGGGCGCGGTGGCTCATGCCTGTAATCCCAGCACTTTGGGAGGCCGAGGCGGGTGGATCACGAGGTCAAGAGATCGAGACCATCCTGGTCAACATGGTGAAACCCCGTCTCTACTAAAAATACAAAAATTAGCTGGGCATGGTGGCGCGTGCCTGTAATCCCAGCTACTCAGGAGGCTGAGGCAGGAGAATTGCCTGAACCCAGGAGGCGGAGGTTGCAGTGAGCCGAGATCGTGCCATTGCACTCCAGCCTGGGTAACAAGACTGAAACTCCATCTCAAAAACAAAAAAAAAAAAAAAACGAAATGTTAAAAGTCCTATATTCAAAAAATACCACACAAGTGAAAGCTAGATAAATTGGGGAAATGATTTGTGACATGTGTAAGAGACAAAGCATTAATGATCTTCATTTTTGTCATGGTTTCAGTGTGTCCCCAGAATTGATGTGTGTAAAATTTGGTCCCCAGGGGAAGGTGGGGCCTTTCAGAGGTGATCAGGTCAAGAGGGTTATACCCTCTGTCTGACTGGGTTCATTCTGCAGGCATGAGTGAGTTCTCGCTCTCCTAGGACTGGATTAGTCAAGGTGAGAGTGGGTTTGTTAAAAAAATTACCACTTAAACCTGGGCGATGGAAAGAGACCCTGCCTCAAAATAAAATAAAATAATCCAGCCCCAGGTATTGTGGTGTTCTTTAATAGCAATGGAAAACAGACTAAGACAATTTTATAAAGTAATTTTTCAAATAATCCAGGAAAAAAAATAGAAATCTATTTAAAGGTCATAATTAGACAAAAACTAAAAATTTCTATGTAACCTCTTTTAGTAAAAAAATTAAAAATAAAAGAGAGTGTCCATTCCAGCTGTCACTTTAGAAAACATTAAACATTGGTAGTACCAGGAGTGGTTTGAAATGTGGAGATAAAGCATTCCTGGGCACTAGATATGAATGTTTTAAAACAGCACACCCGGTGCTAGTCATTTTACGAATAGAAAACAACTGGACAAGTGTCCACGTATGTCAGGACACAGAGTTATTTCTCCCTTCATTGTTTGTCACAGGTAAGCCTGTTGTACTTGGGGTTTTGATACACAAATTTGTGAAATCAGTAGATGTAATACAAAGCCATAGATGGCGAACTCCCACAGAAGGGGTGGCATACATAACGGCGGGGTGCACCTAACACAATTCCTGATCTTTCTTCCTTGGGGAATGAGAAAGGGGAAGCTGGGAAGCCATGAACACTGAAAATAATGGGGAAATCCCAGAAAACAAAGACCCGAGAGGGAATGCCCAGACTGACTGCAGCGTCCCTGAGCCCAGCACCCGAGGAATAGACCCAAAAGAAGCAACTAGAGCCCAAGGCCTGAGCTGAGGCTGGAGCTGCCACGCAGAAAACAGTTACAGTTCAAGCCTAGCCAAGAACACGACCTGCTGAGAAAGAAAAGAGTCCTCAATGGAGAAAAATAATAGCATGTGGAATACCTACATCCATCATGTTTAACATCCATAATGTCCATGGTAGGACTCAAAAGTATTAAAAATATAAAACATTATCATCTGTCTATCAACTCTTTATCTATCATCTGTCTACCTATCTATTAATTGAAACACACTAAGATACAATAAAATCAATGAAATCCAGTCCCTAAATGAACGAAATGTTGTAACTAACGAATCTCAACAGAGAAATGGGAACCCTCATGAGAAAAACAGAAACAGTGAAAAAGAACCAAGGGGAAATTCTAGAACTTAAAAACATACCATTTCTGAAATGAAATCTTTCCTCAGTGGGCTTCCCAGCCAGAGGGAAATGACAGAGTGAGTATACTGAAAGATGAACCCACAGAAATTGCCCGACATGAAAAACACAGAGAAAAGATGCTTTTGAAAATGAACAAAGCTTACAGTTCTTATAGATTATATTAGAATACTAGCTGTAGGAATAAACACTAGAAGACATTATGACTGAAATTATCCTGAATTTTAGGAAAGACATAAATTTGCACATGGAAAATGAATCCTAAGCAGCATAAGCAAAAACAAGCACACGAAGGCACACGAGAGTCACTCTGCTAAAAGCCAAACATCCAAAGCAATTAAAGTCACATATCACGTGCTGCTCAGCAGTTAATCCAACTAATGGCTGACTTCTCATCAGAAACTGCTCTATTACTGTCATAACGAATTACCTTCATTAAATGAATTCAGAGACTTAAAACAACACCCATCTATGATGTCATAGTTAAATAGACAAGAAGTCAGGTGCAAAGCGGCCCAGCTGAGCCCTCTGCTTAAGAGTCTTATGAGGATAAAACCTCAAATAAGTAGAGCCGTTTCTTTCTGGAGGTTCTAGGGGTAAATTCTCTTCTGAGCTCATTCAAGTTGCTGGCAGAATCCAGTGTCACATGGTGGTAAGGCTGAGCTTCTAGAAGTTGGCTGCATTCCTTGACTCATGACCCCTTCTCTCATCCTCAAAGCCAACATGGTGGGCAGAGTCCCACTCACACTTCAAATTTCTCTGACTTTATCTTCTTCTTCCTCCCCCCTGCTCTAGCTGGAGGAAGTTCTCTCTTTTAAGGGCATATGTATTTAGATTGGGCCCAACGAGATAACCCAGGCTAATTTTTCTATCTGAAGGTCCATAGCCTTAATTATAACCGACATTCCCTTTTGCCATTGGTCTCACTCCACATTGTGTGGCTATAACAAAGGGCCACAGACTGGGTAATTTACAAAGGAAAGAGGCATGTGTGTCCCATGGTTCTGGAGGCTGGGCAATCCAAGGTCACCAATCCAATTCTCATTTGGTGAAAGCCTTCTTGTTGTGTTATCCCATGGTGGAAGGCGGAAGGCAAGGGAGTAGATGTGAGAGAGGAAGAGAGCCACACTCGCTGTGGTAACAAACCTGCTCTCCTGTGACCAAACCCACTCCCTCCATAATGACATTAATCCATAAATGAGGGCAGGGCCCTCATGGCCTAATCACCTCCTAAAGTCTCACCTTCCAATGTCGTTGCATTGGGGATTAAGTTTCCTACACATAAACTTTTGGAGACACTTTCCAAACCATTGTACCATGTGATGTAACCTTTTCGCAGGTTTGAGTCTTAGGGCATGGACATATTTGCCATGTCATAACTCTTACTAACAGAAATCATGAGGACAAAAGAAGTTGGAACACCGTCTTTTTTTTTTTTTTTTTTTGAGACAGAGTCTCGCTCTGTCACCTAGGCTGGAGTGC